CATCCTGAGAGGGCAAGACTCGGCGCGAGGTGGCGTGGTAAAACTTCTAACCAGACGCGTCCGGGACAAAGCCGAGGAAGACGCAGGGAACAGCACGGGAGGAGAGCTTGTCCGCAGACGTATCGCGGACAAAAGCTCGAGATCCCCATACTCGGAAACGCGACGCATCGCCAACCTCCCCCGTCCACAACAATGTGGGCGAGGTCTCCGGCAAGGAGACACGGGGCCAGAGGTTGAGCTGATGCGCAGCGTACCGGACCGCAAACGGCCACAGAAAGTGGGGGGCAGCCGCATGGATCAAGGAGGTACGGGCGACCTCCATGACTAGGCCAATGCGGCGCTCCGCAACCCCATTCTGTTGTGGAGAGGCCGGAAGCGTGAACGACTGCTCAATGCCGTGCTCAGCACAGTAGGCTGCCAAGAGGTCGGAGGAGAACTCACCACCTCTGTCAGAGTGCAAGCGCAGGACAGGAAAGTCTGAGTGGAAACGCTCGCTGAGCTGGAGACGGGCTCTGCGGATCCAAGGGATCAAGACATCAGGGACCCCACCCTTGGTGCGCAAGGGGAAGACCGAGGTGTAGCGCGAGTAGTCGTCAACAACTATCAGGAAGTACCTCTCCTGACCCTGACCACGGATGCGGGCTGGGCCCCACACGTCCATGTGGAGCGTCTGCAAGGGAGCGGTCGTCGGGGGAAACGAGGAGGAGTGAGGAGCGGCGCGCTGCCGTCCCTCGACACAGGGGAGACAGGTAGGAGCAGGTGAGGGAGGGAGGGGAGGAAGGACCCTGGGAAGGCCAGAGACAAGGTACCGGGAGTGCATGGCACGAAGCCGCTGCACAGACGGGTGGCCAAGGCGGTGGTGCCAGAGGACAGTCTCGTGCGCCAGAGAGCGACACGAGCAGGGGGCCGACAGCTGACCTGACGCGGACGCAGAAGCAGACGCAGCAACCTGAGGGGACTCAGTAGTCAGTCTGTACAGGTCCGACCCCGGCTGCCGAGTGAAGGTAGCCAAGTGACGGCCCGTATGAGCACACGTACAGTGTGTCACGCGCTCCTAGGCAGGGGTGAACTGGTGAACAACCCCGTCTTAGAGCGCACATCCTGCCACCAAGGTCGTAGAGAACGAGGGGAGGTGGAGACCTGACAGTGTGCCCGACGGGACCGCAGGGCAGGGAAGGACAGTGGAAGAGGTCGCAATGACCGGACCCCCAGAGGGGTCAGCAAGGGAGACAACAACTGGCCGAGCAAGTGGCTCAAGGGCAGTGCGGGCATGGAAGAAGCAGCGAGAAGCACCTGAGTCTAGTGTGAAGGTGTGCAGTGCTGCAGACGACTCAGTACCAAGGGGGGCAGACGCACAAGCACCTAGAGCAGCTGCCTCACCAGCACCTGGGGTAGCCGACACGCGAGTACCTGGAGCGGCAGACGCACTATTTCTAATGCCCGGGTCGGGCGGCACACACAGGTACTCAGCACCCTCTCCACTAGTAGACATCACATACATAGCAGATAGAATAGCATCAAAGTCTAGAGCATAGATATCAATCCCCTTCTTCAGGAGATCAATCCAGTGGGGCAGCTCAGTGGCCTGAGGGAACTGAACACTCCAAGCGTCGTCGAGACGAGCGAAGCAGCGCTGTGTGGCGTGCGGTCGTCCACACTGCTGACCAGTGCGGTCACCAGTGCGAATGACGTACGTGCAGCTAAGGCCACCCCCCCCCCCCCCCCCCGTGCAGAGAGTACCACTCACGGACCTCCTGGGGCGACGGAGTGTGCTGCTGGCCCTGGCCACCGCCAGCGCCTCCACGACCACCACTGCCGCCGCCACCTCCTTGACTACCCCAACCCCTGCCGCCGCCTCGTCCACCGCCACCCCAACCACCGCCTCCGCCCCTGCCACCTCCCCCGCCGCTGCCGCCACCACCCCCACCGTTGCCACTAGCCCCTCCAGTCGCGCCACCACCCCCACCACCCCCACCACCTCCACCTCCGCCTCCCCCGCCGTCACCGCCACCACCCTTGCCCCCTTTTCCCTTGCCGCTGCGGCGCCCGCTCGAAGCAGACGCAGTACCGACCTTCTCAGCACCAAGGAGGTCGACAGCAGCAGCAGAGGCGACAGAGGGAAGAAGGGTGGAAGGAGAACACCCCTCAAAGATCGGGGTACGGGGGTCGCCACGAGAGGCACCTACAGCAACTATGCTAGTCTCAGCTGCAAGCAATTCCTTCTCAACGAGGGCAATGGTGAGCTCAGTGGGGCAACGAGCTAGGAAGTGGTCCCTGACAGCACGAAGTGTGTCAGGGAGGCGGGTGACTAGGTGGTAGAGAGTGAGCCAGAGTGGGGGGGGGGTCATAGCAAGGAACTCATCGGGCATGGCGGCACGAAAGCGGGCCTCACTAGTACCGAGGTGCGTGATGAGGTCAGCGACTGTGTGGAACGAGGCCAGGTCGCGAAACAGGTAGGGGAGGGAGAGACGGCCTAGCGCGGCAGAGGCAAGTGAGGAGTAGCGAGCAACTACAGCTGTGTACAGTGCCTGTGCAGTCTTGTGTTGGCCAATGTGCTCGCGTTCGTCTATCGGCAGGGAGTTGCGAATAGCGAAGCAAGCGTGGCCATCACGAGTGTGCCACTGTGAGCGAGCAGTGCTGTCAGCAGAAGCAGCAGGGGCAGTGACATGGCCTAGGGCGTGGTCGTACAGTGAGATGTCGTCCTTGGCTGTGAGCTGTAGATAGAGGTGCTGGTCATCTAGCCAGGTGTCAAACTTCACTGGGCGGCCCTCAGCATCGAAAACTAGAACCTGTGGGCTAGCCATAGGAGCAGTAGAAGTAGCAGCAGAAGAAGGAGGAGGAAGCAGGTAGGGCGGCTTGGTTCAGGTAGGGCGGCGCGGCTCGGGTGGGGCGGCTCGGTTCAAGTCGGGTCGCGCGGCTCGGCTGGGTTCGCGCGGCTCGGCTCGGGTCGCGCGGCTCGGTTCTGTCCCGGGCTGTGGCGGTCACGGGCCGCTCGGGGCCTCTAGGGGCGGTGGGCTCGGGGCCGTTCGGGGCCTCTAGGGACGGTGGGCACGGGGCCAACGGGGCCGTTCGGGGCCTTTAGGGAGGTGAGCGGGGGGCCCTAACGGGGCCTCTAAGGGGCCGACGGGGCCGTTCGGGGCCGCTAGGGAGGTGAGCGCGGGGCCGTAAAGGGGGCCTCTAGGGGCCGACGTGGCCGTTCGGGGCCTCTAGGGAGGTGAGTGCGGGGCCGACGGGGCCGTAGGGGACCTCTAGGGAGGTGAGTGCGGGGCCGACGGGGCCATTCGGGGCCTCTAGGGAGGTGAGCGCGGGGCCGACGGGGCCTCTAGGGAGGTAAGCGAGGGGCCGACGGGGCCGTTAGGGGCGATCGTGGGGCCGAAAGGGGCCGCTAGGGGCGAGCGCGTGGGCCGTTCGGGGCCTCTAGGGGCGGGCCGTCGGGGCTTTAGATGGCCGTGAAAAAACCGAGGCGCCCTAGGGCGCAGGTAGGTAGGTAGGTAGTGGTGGGCCCAAAAAAAAAATCGGTCCTAGGAAGGACCTGCTCTATACCATGTTGGAATAACGGAACAGGAATGAATGAACTAACAGTGAAAACAATACAAATACCTAACCCTAGAATTGTGAACCCCCTGTAGGCTAACCCACTGTAGCCTAAACAAGCACAACAACATATATAATGTTTGACAATATGCACACACACACACACACACACACACACACAAACACACACACACATACGTACATATTCACACACACACACACATACAGACACAGACACACACAAACACCGACACAGACACACACGCAGACACAGACATAGACACACAGACACAGATACAGACACACAGACACAGATAGACATACACACACATACACACACACACACATACATACATACATACATACATACACACAAACATACACACACACACGCACTCGCACATGCACATACGCACACACACACACACATAGACCCACACACCCACACACACACGCGCGCGCGCGTACGCACATGTGTGAGTCTATGTATGTGTGTGTGTATGTGTGTGTGTGTGCGTGTGTGTCTTCATGTGTGAAGATAGCAGAATTTGTAAAACTCATATGCTATAGATTGTGTAGGTTGTAGTAGGGTAGACAATATGGGGTACAAAACTTTTAGGTTTTCCTACTTGTACCCACCTGCTTGCTAGTTCTTTCATTCCTCATTTCTTCACATGGTATAGAGCAGGTTCCCTAGTGGGAACTTTTCCTAGGGCCCACCACTGAAAATCGAGTTTTCTTATTTTTTTCCTGCCCTGAGATCGAGTCGCCCCTGACCGAGGCGCGCCCTGTGTGCCGCCCTCCCCTTAGCGACCCGTCGCGCCACCCTTAGCGGCCCCTGGCGACTCCGTCGCCGCCCCCTAGCGGCCCATCGTGCCGCCCTGAGCGGCCAGTCGCGCCGCCCTCAGCGGCAACTTGCGGCCCCACCTCCACGGCCCTGTCGCCGCCCTCTCGCGGCCCCGTCGCCGCCGTTCGCGGCCCCGCCGCCACCCTTAGCGACCGCGTCGCCGCCCGTTACGGCCCTGCAGCCGCTCCTCGCGGCCTCGTCGCCGCCCTCTCGTGGCCCTAGTGCCGCCCTCTCGCGGCCGCGTCGCCGCCCTCTCGCGGCCCCAATGCCGCCCTCTTGCAGCCTCGTTGCCACCCTTAGCGGCCCCGTCGCCGCCCCTTGTAGCCCCGTCGCCGCCCCTTTCGGCCCCTCCCCAGCCCCTTCACCGCCAAGCCGCCGAGCCGCCAAGCAGCCGAACCGCCGAGCCGCCGAGCCGCCAAGCAGCCGAGCCACCGAGCCGCCGAGCCGCCGAGGCCACCGTCGAGCCGCCACTTCCGAGCAGCTGCCGCCGAGCCGTCGTCGAGCCGCTACTGCCACTGCCAAGCCGCTGCCAACGCGGTTGCAGCCCTGTTCCTACCGGCGTGCCCCAGCCCTACCCACCCGGACTGGTGAGAGCACTCCCTGCTAGACCACTACTGTCATGGCTACCCCTAGTGTCCTTACCTTTGATGCTGACAGCACTGTTCGCTCACAGTGGGCCACACGCGATGCTGCTGCCCATCTTGCTATGCGTCGCCACTTACCGACCGCTGAGCGTGCGCACTTTAGTCAGTACAAGAGTGCTAAGACATTGTACGATCCTGTAGTTGCACGCTACTCTTCCCCTGCCATTGCTGCTCTTAGCCGCCTCATACTGCCGTACGTGTTCCCTGACCTCGCCGCCATTCCCACTGTCGCTGACCTCGTTACGCACCTTCACACTAGTGACACCCGCTACCGCGCTGCGCTTCTAGCTGATCTCTGCGCCAAGACCCCCCCCCCCAATGTACATCACCCTCTATTACATAGTCATTCGGCTCCCTGACTCCCTGAGCTTAATCAGAGACCACTTTCTCTCTGTTTGCCCCACCACAGTCACCGTTGACCTCCTCGAGGAGCGCCTCCTGGCAGCTGAGAAGAGTATAGTCGCTGTAGGAGCCTCTCGAGGTGACCCTCGTGCCCCTGTCTTTGAGGGGTGCTCCCCCTCCCCCCTTTTGCCCTCTCTTGCCTCTACTACTGCCGTCGACTTCGTTGGCACCGAGTCGGTCGGCGCTGCGTCTGCCCCTAGCGAGCGACGCTGCACCGGCAAGGGCAAGGGGGGCAAAGGCGCTGGAGGGGCTGGCGGGGGCGGTGGAGGTGGCGGTGGAGGAGGCGGAGGGAGTGGGGGTGGTGGTGGGAGTGGTGGCGGGGGTGGGGGCTTCGGTGGCGGCGGTGGCGGCGGAGGCGGCGGCGGCAGTGGCGGTGGGAGCGGAGGAGGAGGCGCTGGCGGCGGTCGCGGAGGTGGCGGCGGAGGAGGTGGAGCTAGTCGGGGTGGCTCTGCACAGCGGGGCGGCTTTGGTGGTGGTCAGCGCCAGCAGCAGCAGCGCACTCGTGAGACCCCGCCCCCCCAGCAGCTTCGTGAGTGGTACGCTTCGCGTCAGCGGGGTGGGGGTACTGGTCCCTGTACCTACGTCCTGCGTACCGGCGATCGTACGGGTGAGCAGTGCGGGGGCCCGCTCCCCACCCAACGCTGCTTCGGCCGCCTGACGGACGCCTGGCGTCTCCAGTTCCCTGACGCAAGTGAGATCCCTCGCTGGGGAGAGCTGCAGAGGTCGGGGGTTGCTATCTTTGATCTTGATTATGATACTACTCAAGCTGCCATGTATGCTGTGTCTACTAGTGATGAGGGTGACTGTTACCCGTGTGTTCCGCCTGACCCGGGCATTGAGGCTCCTGCTCTAAGTGCTGGTGAGGCTGCTGCTCTAGGTGCTAGTGCGTCTGCTGCCCCAGGTGCTGGTGAGCCTGCTCTCTCAGGTACCACGTCGGCTCAGGCCTTACACACCTTCACCCTCGACTCGGGTGCTTCCCGCTCCTTCTTTCGAGACCGCACCACGCTTACGCCGCTTAGTCGGCCGGTTGCGGTCTCCCTGGCGGACCCCTATGGAGGTCCTGTCCTTGCTCACTTCTCCACTGTCTTACCGTGTCCGGTAGCCCCCTCTGGCACCCTGTCAGGTCTCTACCTCCCCTCGTTCTCTACGAACTTGGTGAGTGGTGCCGACCTACAGGATGGGGGGGGTGACCAGTTCACTCCTGCGAGTCAGCGGGTGACCCACTGTACGTGTGCTCAAACGGGCCGACACTTGGCCACGTTTACCCGTCAGACGGGGTCAAGCCTGTACACACTAACTACTGAGTCTCCTCTGATTTCTGAGTCTAGTCAGGTAGCTGTGCCGAGTCAGGTGTTTGCTGCAGCATCGAGGTCTGGTCCTGAGTCTGCCCCCTGCTCGTGTCGTCTCTGTAAAGATGAGAACGAGAGAGTGGATGAACTATGAAAGAGTTGGGTACAAGTACTAACCCTAATTGGGTTGTACCCCTTATGGGCTACCCCACTACAGTCTACACAAATGTATAAGCTGTAATGTTCTCACACACCCCCATAGGCAAAGTGGGGGAGAACAAGTGGTCACAAGACCAGTCAAGCAAAGCAAAGCAAGCTCAGGGTGGATCACAAAGTCACCACACAGTCCTAGCACAAGAGTCAGGCCACAAGGCCAGCTCACATGCAAGATCATATATATAAAGGAAAACAAGCAAGTGCAGGTATAGAAAGAGGACAGTACAAAGTAGACCAAGAAGTGAGCAAGTGAGGCCAGGTAGGCACAAGACCTAGCATCGTACAGAAGCGCTGATGATCACAAGGCGGAAGGGCCTTGGTGAAGATATCAGCAGTGTTGGCCTCAGAGGCCACGTAGGTGAGGCGGAGCTGACCACGCTGCTGCAGCTCACGAGCAAGGAAGTAGCAGAGAGCAATGTGCTTCGTTCTGTGCTCCAGTCTGTGCTCCCGACACAAGGCCAGCATGGCCTTGTTGTCTACGTAGAGAACTGGAGGAGAACGAGGCGGCTCTCATAGGTCAGTCAGCAGGTAGGTGAGCCAGCGTAGCTCTTGTGCAGCCATGGCCCCTGCGTAGATCTCAGCCTCACAGCTGGAGCTGAGAACAGAAGACGAGCGGGTAGACCGCCACGAAACAGAGCCGGAGCCAAGGCTGAAGGTGTAACCCTGTGACGACCGCTACAGAGCCTGGTCGTCAGCCCAAGAAGCGTCAGCGTGACCTCTGAGGACCACTCGACGTCGCCCTCCAAGCACTAGCCCCATGCCTGACGTATTGCACACGTAGCGCAACACCCTCTTCGTTGCAGCCATGTGCTCTGGTCGGTGTCTCCCACGAGCAACATAGCGTGCCAAAATGCTAAGAGGGTATGCAAGGTCAGGTCGTGTGCAGGTCATTAGGTACATGAGGCAGCCAACAAGCTCTGGGTACGGGCCACTCGGCTCTACGGACTCATCCGAAGGCAAAGCTGAGAGCGAGTGGCGAGTAGACAGAGGGAGTGGCCTGAAGCGAGGAGTACGTGAAGCCGAAGTGCTGAAGAACCTGCTGCACCATGTGTGACTGAGTCAGGGTAATGGTGCGCTGTGCTCTGTCCCGGGTGATCTGCAAACCAAGGTAGCTGCGCAGTTCACCCAGGTCTGTACACGTGTGTCTCTTCTGCAGCTCGGACTTCACCTGGGCGAGTCCAGCAGTGTTAGCTGTGGCAAAGACCAAGTCGTCGACGTACACGAGGATGTAGAACGGCGGCAAAGAGGTGTCGGTGCGCAGAAACAGCGACGGGTCGGCTGTAGAAGGAGCAAACCCAAGAGCCGCAAGTGTAGTCCTCAGTGTGTCGTGCCACTCACGGGGCGCCTGACGTAGACCGTAGATTAGCCCCCGGAGGCTCCACTGGGTACCAGGAGGAAACGACCCAGTGAAGCCAGGAGGGCGGCGCATCCAGATCTCCTTGTGCAGGCTGCCCTGTAGGAAAGCTGTGCTGAAGTCAAGAGAGTGAAGCTCGTAGTCGCGCTGAGCGGCTATGTGCAGCAGCACCCGAAGACTGGTCATCTTCGGGGTGGGAGAGAAGGTCTGAAAGTAGTAAACTCCCTGCCGCTGACTGAAGCCTCGAGCCACGTAACGCGCCTTGAAGACAGGCGGAGAACCCGGCGGCTGCTTCACCCTGAAAATCCACATGCCACTGACGATGTTCGCCCCAGGTGGGGGAACCTCGTCGACGTAGGTGCCTGTGGACTTCCAGGAAGCCATCTCTGCGTCCATGGCTGACTGCCACTGAGAGGAGTAGGGACCCTCGATCGCCTCAGCGTACGATCGAGGAATCGGGATGTCTGGTGCATCCGGGTCTCCCTCAGGGGCAATCAGTGTGGACACGAGATGAGGCAAAGCAGCAGCAAAGCAGTGGAACTCCTCCTGCCTGTCCTCAAGGACGTCCGTGCTAAGAGCACACTCACCCCCGACGGACGGAGGACAGACAGACTCAGACTTTGCAACAAGACTAGCGGCGTAGTCTAGACGTCAGCGAGCAGCAAGGTCGACAAGCTCCGCAACCAAGGCAGACGCAGCAGTGGACTCAAAGGAAGGGTTTGTGACAACAGTAGCCAGGAGACGCGTGACAGTAGGACTGGCAGCACAAAGAGAGTCAGACTCCGGGTCAACAAGAACAGGAAGAGAGGACTCTGAAGGAGATGTCAACGGGACACGCAGAGGAGCAGTGGAAGGACGGAGTGCCATATTGTGTGTGCCTGGGACCGTAGTTTGACGCGGACGCGCAGCACGACTACTACTGCGAGCAGCACGAACAGGCGACGTAGGACGAGACGCAGGCTCACGACGCTCAGCAAGACCTCCAGTAGGACCGGTGTAGAGAGAAGGAGCAGGTAGCGGGGAGGCGGTCTGTAACTGTGACTACGACTGGACAGGCTGTGGACACTCTAAGGAAGGAGCAGGACCAGGAGAGGGCGGGAGACCAAGAACTTGCTCGAGGAGCGGAACGAAGTACGGCCTCGGCCGCTCAGCACCTCCAGAACCAGCAAAGATGGCACCAGTACCCAGAGCGGCAGCACCTCCAGCTCCAACAGCGCCAACTCCAGCACCCTTAGAAGCACCAGCGCCAGCAGCACCGCCAGCGCCAACACCCCCAGCAGCTCCAGCTCCAGCAGCACCAACTCCAGTAGGACCGTCAGCACCAGCAGCCTCAGCAGCACCCCCTGACGCACCAGCACCAGTAGAAACACCAGCGCCAACACCCCCAGCAGCTCTAGCTCCAGCAGCACCAGCACCGCCAGCAGCTCGAGTAGGACCAACTCCAGTAGCTCCAGCAGCACCCGAAGTCTCAGCAGCACGTCTCCAGCGGCGGGCAAACCACTCGTGCAGCTCCTGCGGAGAGAGCGGCTCCCTCCTCGACGAAGCACCGCCGGCGGCCACACGAGCAGACCCAGCACCCCCTAGCTCCGCACCTCCAGGATCCGCATCCCCATTCTCAGCACCCCCAGACTCAGCACCCCTAGTCTCAGCACCCCTAGGCTCAGCATCCCCAGACCCGGCACCCGCAGGCTGAGCACATCTAGCAGCACCACAGTCAATAGCTACCTCAACAAGCTCGACTGCGTCTACCTAGGACACACCTGACGGGGCAGGACCCTCTGGGGGGAGGACCTGGTGCAAGGAAGAGCGGCGGCGGGGGGAGAGGCGCAGTACGGTAGGGGAAGAGACGGTAGTAAGGTACCGACTCATCAAAGGTGACGTCCTGGGAGGACAGAACACGGCGCGAGGTGGGCAGGTAAAACTGCCAGCCAGGCGCGTCAGGGGGGAAGCCAAGGAAGACGCAGGTAACAGCACGAGGGGACAACTTGTCTGCAAACAAGTCGCGGACAAACGACCGAGATCGCCAGACCCGAAACGCAGACGCATTGACAACCTTCCCGATCCACCGCAAGGCGAGGGAGGTCTCTGGCAAGGAGACCCGGGGGTGAAGGTTGAGCTGATGCGCGGCGTACTGAACCGCAAACGGCCACAGAAAATGGGGGGCAGCCGCATGCATCATGGACGTACGAGCGACGTCCATGACCATGCCAATGCGGTGCTCAGCAATCCCATTTTGCTGTGGAGAGGCCGGAAGCGTGAAGATCTGGCGGATGCCCTGTGCACGACAGAAGGCTCCCAGACGGGCAGAGGAAAACTCTCCGCCTCTATTCGAGTGCAGACGCAGAACAGGAAAGTCCGAGGCGAAACTCTCTCTGAGCTAGAGACGAGCTGTGCGGATCCAGTCGACCAACACCTTAGTGACGTCACCCTTGCTGTGCAAGGGGAAGACTGTGGTGTAACGCGAGTAGTCGTCAACCACCAGCAGGAATTACCGCTTGCGCCCCTCCCCACTGACGCAGGCTGGGCTCCACACGTCCATGTGGAGAGTCTGCATCGGAGCCTCTATCGGAGGAAACTCGGAGGAGTGAGGGGCGGCGCGCTATCGCCCCTCGACGCAGGGGACGCAGGTAGGGCCAGGCCCCGGAGGTAGGGAAGGGAGAGACCGAGGGAGACCAGAGACAAGGACATGGAAGGCCATGCCTCAGAGACGAGGCAGGGAGGGGTGACCAAGGCGCTGGTGCCAAAGTAGAGTCTGGTGGGACAACAGACGACACAAGCAGGGAGCAGACTCAGGACTGGACCTGGACGCTGCAGCAAACACCTGACTCGACGCAGCTACCTGACCAGACTCAGCAGCCGGAGGAGACTCAGTAGTAAGGGTGTACAAGCTCGACGCTGGTCGACGGGTGAACGTGGCCAAGTGTCGGCCTGTCCGAGCACACGTGCAGTGGGTCACTCGCTGTCTCGCAAGAGTGAACTGGTCAACCCCCCTATCCTGTAGGTCCGCTCCACTCACCAAGTTCGTAGAGAACGAGGGGAGATACAGACCTGACAGGGTGCCAGAGGGGGCTGCCGGGCACGGTAAGACAGTGGAGAAGCTAGCAAGGACAGGACCCCCAGAGGGGTCTGCCAGGGAGAGTGCAACGGCCGACTGAGCGGCGTAAGAGTGGTGCGGTCTCGAAAGAAGGAGCGGGACGCACTCGAGTCCAGGGTGAAGGTGTGGAAGGCCTGAGCCGACGTAGTACCTGAGAGCCCAGACTCACCAGCACCTAGGGCAGCAGACGCACTAGCACCTGGGGCAGCTGAAGCACTAGCACCTAGAGCAGCAGCCTCACCAGCACCTAGAGCAGTAGCCTCAATGCCCGGGTCAGGCGGTACACACAGGTAATAGTCACCCACAACACTATCATCAACAGGATACATGGCAGCAAGAATAGCATCATAGTCAAGATCAAAGACGGCAACCCCTGCCCTAGACAGATCTCCCCAGCGAGGGATCTCTGACGCCTCAGGGAACTGGCGACGCCACGCATCCGTCAGGCGACCGAAGCAGCGCTGG